TCCATGCCAACAGGAGTCTCCAAATCTCAACGTTGAAGACTCCCTACGGCATTCCAGCTCATCATTAATAAAAACCATCTTTCAAAAAAAAAATCATATGAATATTCTCTCAGATTGCATGAAACTTCACTTTGATGTGTTTTATCCTGCCATACTGCACTGGGTTTTTAGCAATTGAAATAGCAGAAGCTGCAAGATATTTATGAACAAGTTGTTGATGATGTATTACTTCCTGGTTCGGATGTTAGTTTCTTAAGTGTTTTTAAGAACAAGTTGATGAAAGAATTTGAAATGACTGACTTGGGAGAGATGCACTAATTTTTGGGGTTACAATTCATTCAAAGGTCAGATTATATTTGCATACATCAAAGTAAATATGCAAATGAAATTTTGAAGAAGTTTCACATGCTGAAATGTAAATCTGTGGATACTCCTGCAGTCTGCATTGTTGCTTTAGGGGAACTTAGAAGCCAGACCCCGCTATCAAGGGTGAAAATTATTCATGGCAAAGAATTCTATACTAATTCAAAAACAAACTGACAAAACCCGTCTAAAAATCGTTACTCACCTTATCAAATTCTTAGGATACTACACAATAAACGACCAATTCTTTCAAGCTCAGTAAATCTAGCTCAAAAGCCAACTAACTCGTGGACATCTTACCATAGCTCAATTCGACCGATTGTTACTAATGATTAGAACTTTTTGTACAGTATTTACTTAAAACGACCATATTATTATTATGAAATTAATATTACACCTTTCGTTCCTCGTGTTTTTTCTTCAAATATTTTTGCAGGATTGGTTCCAAAATACTTATCAGTTAGCACACAAAACTCTTCTCGATAGCCCAAATTGGTTAATATCGTGTACTCGTGTGACTCTTCTCTATAGAAGTTGGAGGAGAGTCACTCTCCTCTAGATGCTCATTATTTATTTCGATGGGCTAGGACAGATCGATGGCCCCCATTAATCACTGTGGAGGTGATCGGGTGAAACTAATTGGCTTTATGACTATCTCCGAACTTCCGACTACTTGAGAATTTGCTTTTCCTTGTACATTGCTACTATTTGCAACAAGGGCCATCAGTTTATTGGCCAGTAGAATAGACAGACTGACAAGGTCCAGCCTCTTTACGAAATCCAAGTCTTTCCAAGAAGATTCAGGGCGGTGCTGGGAGATGAAAGATGGGGGACATACACATCCCCCTTTCTGACAGAGTAGTAACCCATTAGATAACCATGTTGGCCTTACAGCCGACATTACTTTGCACATCTTCAAACTTTCGAAACCAAACTTTAATATCTGTCACCATTGGTTGAAGTTTCCAATCTGAACAAGACAGGCTTGACCTCTTGTTCTTACGCAAAATTTCAGACTCGTGTCCGTTTTAATCTTCTGGAAATTGGCCTCATGGTCCAATCTGATCCTTTCTTTGTAGGAAAAAGTACCCAACAGGGAAATTTTGTAAGAAGGTTGAAAGAATGACAGTGAGGGAGAAAATCTCCAAATTTGTAATTGGATCCGAACCATAGAGGGAGAGATACTTCTCAAGAAATTAAGCAAAAGTAAACATACTTGATTAAACTGATCGATGATGAAATGAATATGAAAATATTTGTCTCAAGTTAAATTGAATGGTAAACTCAGTTGAAAATCTACAATCCAAGATGATGCAAATACCTATGAAAATTCCTCAAGGTAGAATTCAAAGTGAAAAGCATTTAAAATATGAGAAACTTGTAGAAAGCTTGCTTGCAATCTACTGTCCAAGTTAGTCAAAAGTAGCAGGTAACCCAACTAATCACTTGTCTATCTGATTTAATACCATTACCAACAAGGTACAATCTCTAGGTTGACTCTGTTGCCAGTTAGTACGAGGTCAATTTGTCTGTACCTACAAAGCATCAATTGCCTATGGCTTACATGCTCCAAACTAACACAAGGATCTTAGTTTTATTAAATATGGTAAACCATACGAAAAATCGACAAAAACTGACCATGTTAGAATATTGGCAATATCAAAACTATCAATCAAACTAAATATTACTGATACATAAGAACCTATATCAGAGAAAATACCTAAACATATAATTAAAGGAAAATATTATTCAAAGAAATTGACTTCTTATACCCATCATGACAATTAGTGTTCCGCCTATGCATATAAAGAAATTTTCAATATTAAAAGTGTTTATATTGATACCGCAAATCAATAAGGTAATCCAAGGGAAGAGAAAGAAAGATCTTTATTACTTCTAACTAAGAATAGTGAAAGTGAAGAGGACATGGTAGATTATATTATGCTAATATAATTTATCTAGGTGTTAGAAGGTTTAGTCTTTTTCAGAATTCCAAGGATTATCAGGATTTCTTTGTTTTGGACTTCTAATATTTGGATTTATCTGACCATAATGTTATGATTTGAATATTTGGTAACTATATTGTAAATTAATAAAAAAATAACGTTCAAATTGAGGTATCTTAATAAACATATTATTTATATTATACGATCATGACATTGACATGACAAAAAAAAATCAAGAATTATGATTTAGGTTTTGGAAGATTTGGACCGGAACTTGAAGTAAGATTATTGTCAAAACAAAAACAAAAAAAATCAAAGAAATCGACCAATCTGAAGTCACATATATGGCCTGCTAAAGTGGCTAGTTCAGGGGATGACTTTTGAAGCAACCCAACTGTTTACCAAATGGTTGCCCTTCCATTGTTTGGTTGACAATCCCGTTTTCACAACACAAAAGTCTGGATGAGGAAGTAAATGTAAAGATTCAGGAGCACATGCGTATCATAAAGATTTATGATGACACACAGAATATATACAAATCTATATGTTATAATATAGGTTTAGTTCAATCATTTCAAATGTTTATCTTTGAAATAAAAGAAGGGATAAGGAAACGGTGGGCTACCCGTCATTGTCATATCATCAGCTACGCTGTTGAAAATTCCATCGTTGGTCCCTCAAAGGTGAACAGGCTTTGGGTCGTTGATGACTAATTGTTTTACAGCGTACGTGTTGATTATGATCGCTAAGAAAGTTACAGGGACGATGGAGATTAACTTACACCTCCCAGAGGCCCAAAGCTCTGCGGAAGAAAAAAGAGCAGCATGTACTCAGCAAACACCACCTAAGCCACCACCCACCCACCCACCATTCGTGACCATTAACCAAAACCATAACTCAAAATCTAAAGGACAATTTTGTTTTCTTTTTTAAAAAGAAGTCTAGTTTTGTTGCAAGAAAGACTTGTGGAAGGCAAAAGAGAAAAAAAATTGAGATAAGATTTGAGGTTGGTCGAGCTGATTTATTTTGTTTAGATTGTTTTCAAAATCGTTTGTAATTTGAGTATTTTATTTATTGTCGAGTTAATTTTTAATAATTTTTTAAAATTATTTTGATTTGTATTCAGAGATGACTGTTGAATTTTTGATTTTATCAACAAAAGTTATATTTAGCCTAACACAAAGAAAAAAAAAGTACCCTAATAAATTAACATTTAATCCGACATGGCCCATAGTGCACCAATTATTAAGAGTAACTTGCACAGCAGAGTTGGGGCATCTCCGCACCCTTTCATTTTTTCATTCCCCTTTTAATAATTTTGTATCTAAAGAAACAAAACCCAGTTGTGATCGTCGCCCTTTATATACAGAACTTTGGTGTTGTCATATTCTTCAAAGAAAAACAAGGACTCAATGGCCAAGAGTAAGGTTCTCGTGGTGGGGGGAACTGGGTATATAGGCCGGAGGATTGTCAAGGCAAGCTTGGCTCAGGGGCATGAAACCTACGTCCTCCAACGTCCGGAGATCGGGCTTGACATCGACAAGCAGCAGATGTTACTGTCGTTCAAGAAGCAAGGAGCTCACCTTGTGGAGGGCTCGTTCAATGATCACAAAAGCTTGGTGGATGCTGTTAAGCAAGCCGATGTTGTCATTTCCACCATGTCTGGGGTGCATTTTCGCAGCCACAACATCTTGTTGCAGCTCAAGCTGGTGGAAGCCATTAAAGAAGCTGGGAATGTTAAGGTAATCTCTAATACAGTTACATCAAAGAGGAGTTGGCTTCTCTCTTCTTTTCTTTTCTTTTGTTCCTTTTTTTTTTCATTGTTTGAAGGTATTATTATGTATGCAAAGCACAAACTTGATGGGGTATTTGCTCTTTTCGAGAAGGACAAAGCCCAATACATATTGCTACTCTCTAAAAATGGGTGGTGAAAAACATGCTAAGTACTTTTTGGCTGATTCCTATACAAATCTTCCTTTTTATTTCTTCTGTTTATTAGTTTATTCAATTATTTTTAATTTTTTCACTAGGGTAAGACATGTAATTTCAACTTTTAGCACTACGTTTTACTGTAACTTAACTATTAAGTATCTACCATATGATTGAAAAGGAAAAATAACAATAAAAACTAAAAGCTTAAGTTATTATGATTTTAGAAAGTGTTTTTCATTTTCCACTTCCATTATTGCATTATAATTCCTTATTTTTCCAAAATTTTCAATGTAGTTATATATATATGGAGAAAACGGCAGAGAGTAATGTATTTCCAATAGTTTAAAGTGGGGTGGGATCTGAGGATATTCAGGGTTGAATGATCTAAGACCCACATTTTTTTAGCATTATCTTAATTTGAAATCATTTTAATAAATTGTATTTATTCTTTTTTTTTAATTATCCTTTTCAGCTAGAAAAGAAAGTAATATATTGCACTAGCCTTTCCTTTGTCAGACTGGTGGATGATCCACTCAACACAAAGGAAAAAAAAAGAAAAAACAAGATGCTACAAAATTACATAAAAACAATAAACATGTTTATCACTAAAATAAATAAAGCAAAAAAAAAGAATTTTTTTTTTAAAAATTTCGTCATTTATTCTGAAACATACTACATATTTAGATTATTAATCATTTTATAATAAAATATATTTTTTTGAACCGTAAATGTTAAATGTAAATATTAATGTAAAGACAACATTGTAGCGTTTCCTACCTTCAGAGTTTGGTACGGATCCGGCTCGAATGGGACATGCACTGGAACCGGGAAGAGTAACATTCGATGAAAAAATGGTTGTGAGAAAGGCAATCGAGGATGCTAACATCCCTTTCACCTATGTAGTTGCCAACTGCTTTGCTGGTTACTTTGTCGGCAACCTTTCACAAATGGAAAGGCTCACTCCTCCAAAAGATAAAGTATATCTCTATGGGGACGGAAATGTTAAAGGTACAAACGAATTAAATACTGTAATTAAGATCGCTGTTGAGAGACAATATTTGTTCCTGATATGTATTTGGAAAAATGGTGGTTGATGGATGCTGCAGTGGCTTTTATGGACGAAGATGATATTGCAACATACACGATTAAAGCAATAGATGACCCCAGAACATTGAACAAAACGTTGTACATAAGGCCTCCGGGGAACATTCTCACCCAAGCACAGCTAATCCAGAAATGGGAGAAGCTCTCCGGGAAGAAACTAGAGAAGATTAGCATTTCTGCACAAGATTTCCTAGCCTCGATGAAAGGTACTTATCAGTCTTTGATTAACTCAACTTCTGTTTACGAGATATTAATAAAATTGTTCTAGCTTATAGTTCGAAGAAGAGATCCTACATATCCATGAATTATTTGACAAAGATTTCTTCATGTCTGTGCAGGGATGGACTTTGCAGGGCAGGTAGGCGTGGGCCATTTCTATCACGTTTTTTACGAAGGTTGCTTGACAAACTTCGAAATAGGGGAAGGTGGTGAAGAAGCGTCGATGCTTTATCCAGAGGTGGAATACACCCGCGTGGACGATTACTTGAAAATCTACGCATAACGAAATGCAAACTTCCCAGGATTTTCACCTTAAAGCAACAATAACGTTATTCCAAGTAATACAATAAAATTGTTATGGTCTCCGTAACGTTTTCAGGCGTCTACGTGCCCTATGTATGAATGGGTAACTCTTTTTTCCAACTCCTGTCCTGTTCCCTTGTTGATTACATCAATATATGTGATTGTAGTGCTTTCGGTTTCATCTTCTTTTATTACCTTTAATTACTGCATCAAGTGCGTTTGATCATGTTCTTGCAAACTACCGAAATTATTATGAGATGAGAAAGTTCGAGTTTCAAGCAAGTGGATTTAGTTGCTATAAAAGCTAGTCTAATCATGGAAACGTTTAGGTACTCATAATGTCCAAACAAAGCAGAGATTATTGGGTTAATAGATTAGAGCAAAAATACAAAATATCACAATTATATGATATAAAGCAAAATATAAATAAATTTTGTATATTCTCTAAACATCATATTTAATAAAATCATTCGTCAATTTATTAATTTACAACATAAGTAAATGCAATAATTAAGAACTCAGGATTTTGGCAATGATGGTGGGAATGTGGAATTTGGAAATACAATAGATAAATTGTTTGAGTTGCTTTAAGAAACTGCTAGGGGAAATATACGTCAAAGTCATGCATATCGCAATCAGTCAGAGGATTTTAATTTGTTTTTTAATGAAAAAATTTGTCAGTGGCAAAGAATAACCTAATCAAATAGACTTGTCTGCAAGTCCTGGCCCAGTTTCCAACACGATTTTGATCCAAATAAAATTTGAATATTGTACGCCAAATTGAATTATTGGGTAGGCTGAAAAAGAAACAGTGGAAGACAAATGCCCTGGAAAGCTCAACATTAATATTTTAATCAACATTATGAGTAAAAGTGGTAAATGTTCACCCAAATTGAAATAAAGGATTTGTCCCAAAAATCAATTATTACTAGTATCAATTAATAAAGATAAATAGATTTAATCATTGGGTTTGACTCACTTTAATTATGGAGAAGGATAAGATATTCTACTAACTATCACCAAGTGCAATTGCTAATTACCAAAGGGTATGTACCTAATTAGTTTGTTTCTAGATCTCTAGCCAACGATATAGGTTAAAATAGAATGCAACGAGATGTAAACTGAAATCATAACTAATGGGAGATCTGTTTTTTTTTTTTTTTTGAATTTCATCTCTTATATGAAAACATTAGCGATTGAAGCTCGTTTCCATTTACAGCTACAAATTCAAAGCTATCTTTGGTGTTTAGGTCAAAATTTATGGAATCTCCTTCAACTTTAAGCTTGACATCTTTGTTTCGCTCTCTTTCTCCCACCCCATAGTTTTGGAAAGCAGAACAGCTGGTGGCCTTCTTGGGAACGTCATTCATCTGTACCATGTTCGGTTTCCTGTCTGCTCCTCCATTCACATTCTCCATGAGACTCGACAGAGCCAAGTTGAAGTTCGTTAATTCTGCTCTTGTTTCTTCTACATTCCCTTCACAGTTGATGTCAAACGAGAGGCCCTTTTGGGCTTTCTCCAGTATTGCCTGCAAGTACCTCCCTTGTGCCTCTACCCTCATCTGCAATTTCTCCTGCACCTGCAGAATTCAACAACAGTTAATTAGAAGCTTGAACAAGCAAATTTGATCGATACCGATGTATATTAATGGTAAAGAGAATGAGAAACAATCTGCCTTTGGAAGGGAGATATTAACCTCAAGTTGCTCTTGCAGTGTCTTTTGTGCTTCCAGCGGGGTGATCACTGCAGCTGCCACTGGGATTTGTCTGTTTCATTGCACATTCAATCATCACTCAGGCTGTAACCTTTTGACAGGCGAAAAAGGCAATCTGAAAAGAGGGTAATCCTAACTAGATTCTCAATTTTCTAGCGGCTATAAAAGTTCGATGTGACAACTCAAAGCCCAAGAAAGATTCTCGTTGCAGAACAGAAATGACAAATAGAGCTGAGATATTTGCACGCACCGTTGCTCATTGTCAGCTCTTGGCGAATTGGTGATAGTCCCTGGAGAATGATTGCTAAACTGTACGTACGAACTCCCTAGAAAAAGGAATCGTGCCCAATCACCATAAGAAGTAATACTTGATTGTGGAAAAACAACAGTGAATTAGTGGGATTTTAGTCCAAATGAATAGTCTGCCAAACTTACCACCATTGTCTTTGTTTTGGTCTACTGCATTTTGCTTCCGGGCCTGCTGTCCTAGCCTGTATTTCTACCAAAACAAACAAAAAATAAAGCAAAATTACATACTCAATGTTTCAGAAATAATTGAAAAGCTAGAGATAACAATGGAAGCGTAACTGCCCATGTCTTATATACCTGTAAATGGCTCTTCAAATGGTACAATGTCAAGCCCTTCATACCCATCAGCCTCAGGACAGACTTTGGAGTTGCTTCTGCAAGCAGAATTTTCCCAAAATGTTAGACTAGCTGAAATACTGGTTGGTTTCTTTTGTGAATCAAAATTATGAAAACGGAAAGGATGGGATGCAATTAGAATTTCACAAAACTCCATTGATTCGGAGAATTCTTTCTGATAACAATTATTTGTAGTAAATTAGCCTAAGAGTTTGTTCTCAAAAACCAATGAGAGACCATAAAAAGAGGTTGATAAGTAGTAGTACTTGCTACTTTTACTTGGGAGTAAGAAGGATTCAAGCAAGATTAACACCTTCATCCAACCATTTCTAGCTCAGATTTAGCTACAATTTACATGATTATACTTAAAAGAAACAGAACAAATTTCTTACGGTAGCTAATTCATGATTGCATCATCAAGATACAAGATTTAAAAACAGAGATATCTGATCTTAGTACTCTGTTTTTTGCTGAAAATTTTAAAAGATGGAAAAATGAAACACAGGGTAAGGAGGTAGAAGAGGACAAACTGTCTGGGCCACCAAGTTTAGTTACGGCGTCGACGAATCGGTCGTGAAGATCAGCCGTCCATCTCAGCCGAGGCTTCGGGTCTCTCGTCATCACCACCCCATTCTCGTACCCGAAGTTCCCTCCCCCTCCTCCTCCATAGCTTAATCTCTCCATCTCATCAGACCAAAGTCACCAAACCACCTCAATTCTCTCCCTTTGAATTGAATTCTTCAAGCTGGTTTTTGAGTGGAATCAAAGCGAGTTGAATTCCCGATTCCTCCCTTAAATCCGAAGCCGTAAATGGCCAACGGAATCGGATTGAGAACAAGAATGTAAACTGAAATCAACCTTTTTTTCTGTTTCAACTTGTTATATATCAGCAGAGATATATATTTATTTATTTATTTAATGAGAAACAGAAGGAGAATTTTTATATTTAAACGAAGAACATGCAGAGGAAAGCTCGGCGACGAATCTTAAGCAACCATGATTGCAAATCAAACAAAACACACAAACGCAACAGAGTAACAGAGTAATTGCGCTCTTGTTCTCCCGTGTACATCTGCATCAGGAGTTCGACCGTTTAGATTTTTTCTGGCATGATGATCCAACGGTGCTGGAGGGGAGATGTCGCTGATTGGAATAAAGAGGTTCGTGGCTGTGCCACGTAACCGCCAGCGTGGAATATTCGCCGGCGAACGAGAGGAATAAAATATTCCAAGAGTCACGTGGGCGGCCCACCAGGGGAGGACGTAAGGGTCATTTTCCAGGTCGAAAGGGTGGGTCATCCACATGAACGGTCCGACAAGATGGACACGTGTCGCGATGTCCGTCAAGTGACTGTAGTATATTCGCTGCGGGCCGATCAGGAACAGGAACAAGAACAAGAACAGACAGGAGGGTGCAAGCAAAGCCCCCGTGAAAAAAGCTGTCCAATGAATCCAATCCCCCTTTTGGGTCCTTCCCATTCTGCCATAATCTATTCTTAGATTTGCTTATTCTTTCCGAAGAATCAGAATTCAGAACCAAGAAAAAGAAAAAAGCTAAACCTAACCATTGGCATTTTCCTGGTAGATTCTACACTTCGGAACGAAAGAAAATGGAGAGTTGTTGGTACGTTCAGATGAGTTGCTGATCAGCACCGTCTAGCTCAAACTCGGCTCGATTGTACTTTCGAGCCTTGATTATGACCTTTGGTCGCTATGGATAGTCTATGACAGCCATAGTTCCATCTTTTAGTAAGAATGGAAACGGTTCTGATGAACATGAAGTTGAATAACGATACATTTACACCGGAACAACATACAGATTGAACAATGATACAAAGGCAACTGAATTCATCTGCCCAAATTAAGGAAACTAATCAAATTAAGCACATCACAGCAGTTTGGTGTTCAGACCTCAGGGTTTAACAGGTATACAAGGGATTCCAAGAGGATTTCAAGGTGTATTTAGCTAAGCAGCAGTGCCTCTACTACCTAGCAGCAGAGGAGAGAGTAGCTGCTGACCATGGAGTTGGCAACGTGAGCAAACATTGCCATACTTATGCACCAGGTGGGTGATGGGACATATGATTGGTACAGAAGATGAACCCACCTACCTAAGGATAGGTCATGGCAATACAAGCAGCAACAAGGGTTTATAACCATTTTAGCTTTCAATCAAACTAGACAGCCTTTGAAACCTTTTCTAAGGGCAGTCTCATCCAAATTTCTTCCTATGAATACGAGCTTGTTGGTCCTCTTCTCATCAGGTTCCCACATTTTTCCTGGGCAGCCATCCAATGTCGAATGCACTCCCTGCCATGGTAGCCACAATTTTCAGATAAAAACAAACCGTAATGTTGACAGATGCTAATTGGAAACACGAGGTGAAGAAATGGGAACCTGAAAAACATATCGCTGATCAAAACCATTGACAGACAGGACTCCCTTCATTCTATATAGGTCCTCTCCTTTCTCTTCAATCAATCTTTGAAGCCAATCGTCAACCTGATTCATCCACAACCAAGTAACAAAGACTAATGAGAGGTAATACAATTAAGGCAACCTTACAAGTTACAACAACAAATTTAATCAATAGATGCAGGGCTATTTCTGGTAAAAGAATGATGGTTATATTTGTTTGTGTATTCTCAAAATTTCAACTTTTCAGCGATAAAATCCTCAAGCATAGATCACTCAATCATCATCATGATTGATTCATCCATGCCAAAAAAAAAATCCTTACACTTACCCTAATAAGGCCCTAAAATTACAATTTCTCTGACTCTACACAGCCATTATCAGGGACATTGAATCCTCCTTCCTAATTCTAATTGACTTACAAATTGGGACCTTGTATGAAATTCCAATCCTTCAAGATGGCAAAGCCAGCTTCACAGTGACCTTGGTCATTTTGAGAAATTTTAACCTCGTATGAAATCCTAAAGAAAATATATGAGCTTCTTATGAAATATTTCTTACCTCATCTAGATCAAGGGTTCCCTCAGAAACAATGCTAACACTAGAGACAGCAGAATCGTGCAAATGATTATGATGATGCTCCTTGTGCTGCCCTGTAATGTAGAAAGAAAATAAGATAAAATAGATTAAAATAAAGACAAGAATGAATATTAAGCTAACCTAGGTACAACTCTGTGAGAGAAGAACCACTAATTTGACAGCAAGACGCAAAGGTAGAAGGGGGGGGTGGGGGGGGAAGAACCTTGAATTTATGAAAGATGCAGTCACTAAAGATCATCAATGTTTCTGTCCATTTTTCTTAGTTTATCTTTTATTACAAACAAAAGGAGATTAAAAATACAAGAACAAACATAGGAAAGAAATACAAAAAGATGTCATACTACCATGCATGTCATGTTCATGGTTGCCACAGTGAGAATTATGTACGTGAACTTCAGAATCAATTCTGCAAAATACAGGACTTTGAACTTTTAGCAAAGACGTCAGCTACAGAAGAGGAGCGAACAGCTAGTGAAAATACATTTGCATGAGCCAGGAAAGGGTATCTGAAAATATATATATATATATACACACACACTGATAAGAAAGAAAAAGAAGTTGTTTAAAATGGTCAACTAGTGAAGGAAGTAACAAGTGACCTTTCTAGATCATATCCTCCAACTCCTAAAACAAAGTCCATGTCTACAGCTCCAAATTTCGCTCTCTTGATTTGTGCCATGCTATTAATGTGCTGGAAAGCACCAAAATCAGAAGTTGTTACTTTAATGCTACTTCCATGAATAAAATTGACATTAAACTTTGATTTTTGGCATGGTGCTAATGAAATAGAAAACTCTGCAGAGAGAACTAGAGCATAGTGCTAATCCTTTCCTTAATATTCAATTTCTCTTCTTTATTAAATTTACAAACCAAACATAGAATTCATGTGTAATGCAAATGTGAACCTTGATTTTATCAGTCAGTGTCTCCAAGTCACCCTCAGTCACCAAATCTATCTGCAATTAAAATCAAAACAAGTAAACAACATCATAAATAGAAGAGCAACAAGTATATTGAATGTTCCATCCAATACTCTTCAATATGACCATAATAGAAGAAGATCAAGATGCACAGTGAAGGCCATGCAAAATTAAAATGAGAAATCAATGTTCACCTTGTTCAAAATTATACGGTCAGCATAAGCAACCTGCTCAACTGCCTCATTCACAACAAATCTTGGTTTAGCTTCATTGAGATGCTTCATGGCATGCTTTGAGTCAACTAAGGTGACAACTCCATCCAGTTTCACATATCGTGAAACCAGTTCATCAGAACAAAAGGTTTCTATAACAGGGCCTGGCTTAGCAAGACCTGCAATAAGAGTTTCATGAGGAAATAAAGCAGTGAAGCTTTGAGCAACTTATTGGATGCATTTAACAAGGTAACTCCAATGTCTAGCCTTAGACTGCCAACTTAAACAGACATCATTATCTAAAATAGTAACTGACATCACACGTCATAAACTAAACCTGAGTAAAAACCTTGTATTATCAATGTACCATGACATACCTGTGGTTTCTATAACAATATGATCAAATTTGTCCTTTCTTTTCTTAACCAGCTCCAAGAGCATTTTAACAAGATCTCCACGCACGGTACAGCATAGGCAACCATTATTGACCATGACAATGTCTTCTTCAGATGCAGATGAATGACTAGCAACCAATGATCCATCAATATCCACCTCACCAAACTACATTGCAATTAATACAATTAGCAAATTTAGTAACAATGAACCATTTTAAGAAGGCGTATAAAATAAAAATGAAAAATCCCTCAACATAAATAAACTCTACTATTTTTTTTTGGCCAAAAAAAGAAAGGAACTTTTATTGCAAATCAATCACTATAAGAACACCATCAATTACATAACCAGTATTATCTCAACCTACAAATCCAATTCCAGCTTCCCTACTTTATTGATGGAAGGCTCCATAACATAAGGGGCTTTCCACTTCTCTGCATTCAAAATTGTCTGCCTACTGTCACCTGTTGAACTGTTAGGAGAAACTGCCATGGTGTTTAAAAATTATGTAACTGCAGCCTCTGCTCTTGTAATAATGCTGATAGGGTTAGGGGAGGAAAGTTCAAACACAGCTTCATATCTAGCCTTCCAACAGATAAAACAAATTGCACCCCCCTCCCAAAAACAAAAAACTGAATAATCTAATAATCAATGTAAGTACCTCGTTCTCAATAACAGCAATACGTTTGCCATGTTGAGCTGTTAAAATATGGTTTAGGAGAGTAGTCTGCATTAAAAAAAATCAAAATTATTTAAAAAAAAAACATAAAAGGCCTTAAAAATTGGGGATGGAACTAAGCTAAGCAAAGCAAATCATTTATCAGACTAATTAAAAGGAAATGAGACCTTTCCAGAGCCGAGAAAACCAGTGATGACGGTAGCGGGGACACGGGTATCAGAGGCAAAGGCGGGAGGTTCAGAGGAAAAGCCCCTTGAGTTTCTGGGAAGAGGTGCCAAAGAGTGAAAGGTGGCGGTGGTGAGGAAGTGAGATTGCTGGAGACATGGTCGGAGAAGTTGGGTGAGGTTTTTGGATGAACTTCTTGAAATCAAGAATCGCGCTGCCATTGTTATTCGTTCGCGCCTGGGAAGCTCTGGATAAAAACGGGGGGAACAATCAAACTTAAACCTGGGGAGGGTTTTGACTTTTGAACGGAAGGCCTTTATATGTCTCGTTTTCAAAAAGAAAGTAATTACCACGTAAACAACGAAATTTATAAATGTATTTTTACTGTTTTTGTCCACTTAAATGTCTGTTTTTTTTTACTTTAAAGAAAATTAAATAAAAATTTTTAATTTCTTACCTACTTAATTGAGCGTTAATTTTTTTTTTCTAAATGGATTTTAAATATTTTTTAACAGGAAAAATTAAAAAAATAGGAGTATAATGCTCTAAAAGTAAAAATAGAATATGGATATAAATTATCTTCATAGAAAATTTCTTTATATAAATTGTTCAATAACCGTAAATGTCACAACTATCATAGCATTAACACGCACCTTACCACATTTTTCAATTTTCATAATTAATGCAAGCTTTAAATACAGGGGAGCACTCATCCATGCCCCTTCTCTTTCTCTCATTCACATAATTTTTTTCTCTTTCAAATAATAATAATAATAATTTTCAGAAATAAATCAGCATACAAACAAAGGTGGCTACTTCAAACTAAAGAAGTTTCGTGAGTTTCTTAATGGGAAGAGTGAAACAGATTTTCTGAGAAATAAACTCAGTTAGTTGTGAGATTTTACAAGAGAATCAGATTGCAAGCTTGCCAGTTGCCAATTGTGGCCTTGCAAGAAAAAATTTATGTCAGTGATACAAATAATCAATCAAAGGTGCTTAAACATATGAATTCAAGAAGGGTTTTGCGACAATGCTTTTGCTAACTGGGTATTGGTCGAAAGAGAAAACTTGGGAGGGAGGGTCATCAGTGGTTCATTCCCGCTCTGTTTTTGAAACGCCATGCCCATTCCATATCCCAAGGCTCGAGCAACAGGAACAGCAACAGCATTCCCAACTTGACAATACCTAATTGTATCAGAAAAGCAAATTATATTTCTCAATTGCGATTCATAAAAAAAAAAAATGTTCATAAGTTTCCTTGTTTTTATAAATCATATTCTGACATAAAGGCTGCATTCTTCACAGAAGCAGAAATATATCAGATTTGATACTTTACTGTAGTTACCAAGCACGCATACTTGAGAACTAGAATTTTCAATTATATAATATCTAGAACAAAACTATCATACCTCTCTTTAATTGTCCCGCAGAATCTATAATAATCAGGAAAACCTTGCAATCTTGCATATTCTCGGATTGTGAGAATTCGATCCTGCTCCGGATGTAAAGCTGCCTACACAAGTCCAAAAACTCAGAAGTGTATCCAAGGACTGCAAATGGGTGATCTTACAAACTAAAATAGATCAAAGTGAAACCTGGCTGTGACATTGAGGGAAAGTTACTACAGTTGGCACTGTCTCATCCCACCATAATCTTGCAAATGGTCTGCACATTATTGATAACATTAATTTCTTCTTCTTGGTCCTCTTTTTGTTTTAGAGGAGGCAAGGGCTGTTGAAATCACAAACGCTGCTAAAAATGAAATATCTAACCTTCTAGACTTTCCTTGTTCAAATGTAAAAACATAATCCGGTACCTAAAAGCACATGAAAGAGAATTTACATCAGAAATCAATTTTGCCATTTATGACATAGTACTTCACAGTGTAGAAAACATGTTTTGTCATCTCATTCCCTTCTGCACTAGGATCATTTTCAGGTTTTCCTATTAAAGAGATATAACCTATGTTGCTGTTTTATCAGAGTTTGCAGAGGAAAATGAAAGAAGAATAAGAAAATGCCCCACATGTTGACATGCAGTCACAGCATACAGCAATTTTCAGCTATACTTTATATAGCATATTCATTAAAGAACACAGAAACAAAACCACCCAGGCACAAGCATGTGCATGCATATTCTATACACATGGACACAGATGAAATGGATGCATTGTTGTTCTGATGGAAAAGGAAGAAACTCACCAGTGGTTTTCCAGATGGTAAAAGCCTTTTTTCCTGTGTTGGATCCCTCCGAGCCACATTGTCACTTCCAATGATTACACCATGGAGGTCCCTGAAATTCGCTCCCTAAAGAAACTTCTAAATTAGAAATAAAAATGAGGCCAAAAAGTTAGACGTATTAATTTGGGGTTCAATTATAAAAAACCTTTCTCTTTGGGATTAGACAAACTCTTGTGTAATCATCCTCAAATAATGGGAAAGGGCGATGGTCATACAGTGGGTTGCTTATTCTTGTAGCACCATTTAATGCAGAACCAGTTATCTCTGCAGAGCCAGGAAAAAGGTAGACAAAAAATTAGAGGGAAAAAAAATAAAGGGTCTATGCTTGGCACTATGCTCCCTCTCTCTTCAGTAATATTCATATACAACAAATGGAGGATGTAACTAGTATTCTTTGGTTCACCCAGGGTCAAACAGAAAAAGCAGGAAGCAATTTTTCTTGACACAAACAGCACTGATTTTACTAGATATGCTGCATATGCTCAACTCTGAACCCATTCTTACTTGAATTAGCATATGAGATGCTGACCAACTCAATGCTGCATCATGACTTCGCATAGGTCAATAGCGTTTCACATGCTAGGCCCAAGATCCATGATGCATGCTTATACATAATTTTTCATCTTGAGATTTTCTGAAAATACTTAAAAATATTACGGTGTAAATTTTTTACTCCCATGGACAAATTGTGTACAAATTGTCAAGAAATTGAAATTAACCAGCATGTTTAAAACTCTACATAACCACACACCAGACATGACTGCAGAGAAGCAGCAAACTTCTACTCGATTATAATCAATTTTTCCTCTATGCTTTTGCAACTTCCTCAAATCTTATTATAGGGACTTGCTTTAAAATGATCATTGGTTAAACAGGAGGATGCCTAACCCATTCCCACATCCCAATCACCCCTGACCTTTCCCAAGTCCATAATATGCCTGTCACAGTGCTTCAAAGCAAAGTTAAGATTTGGGCAGAGATTAGCTGGTCATTCCTGATTACAGCCCACTGAAAGATGTAGAAGGTATTCCCCTGATTCATGGCTGAAGATCTGAACTTCTATTTTCATTTGTAGCAAGCAAAGACTGCAACTTAACGGCCATGCCACCAATTGTTGATCCTACAACATCCAACTGCTGTGCCTACCAGGCTAAAAAGAAACACTCTAAGTACCCATGTTGGGTACTTACAGCTATTACCAGAATTTTCAGAATTTCATGCTAAGCATCCCTACAATAAATCTTTCATTTTGTTCTAATAAAATGGATTAAAAAAGTTCCAAACCAACTTTGTTGGAAACTTCATATTAGACACTAACCATCAAAAGCAGAAGTGAAGGCCCAAATCAATTATATTACCCATAAATAATTTGCATCCATGACTTTTTTAAAAGGAAAATCACATATATTGATCTACAACTGCAACATAAGGTAGATCATAAGGCATAAAATCTGTTCAGTATCTGACAAATGGCACATTATTTTGACATTAGAGAACTGCCACTAAATACTCAGATAGAGAGAAAAAAAAAGGCAGTTATGGCGCAAGAATTTTTTCTTTTTGAAAAGTTAGAACAAGAAATTTATAGTAATTAAAATATGAGATGAATCTGAGGTGATTCCTGACGTTAAAGGAAAAAGAAATTACCACGTTTACTTGATCTTATATATCTTTGAAACTCAGTTTCAGGAGGCTTTCTATATGTCATTTCTTCGCGAGCTTCATTGTTTGCAACCTATAAAAAAGTTGATTAATCAAAAGGAACAGAGCACTGCAGAGTCCATGAAGTGGTTAATCAGTAAAATAAACATGATAACTACAGCTGGGAGATCAGAAATGGCATCACGGAGAACAAGAGCTTCTTCCAGTTCCTCACGAGGTTGGTCTTCATCATAAGCAACAGTATTGCGCTGCACAATGAAGACAAACAGAATTATATGGATGGAGTGTTGCTGGTTAAAGCACTTTAGAGGGGAAAAGAAGAACCAACAATAGCAACCTCAAACTCAGGAGGAGGCCAATATCTGACAATAACATCATGTGTAGGAAGTGGAAACTGTGGTAGTTTCTGCATACACCAAATCACCACACCATACCAACCACCCCCCCCAAACAAAAAGAAAAAGAGACAAATAAAAGAAGGGCAGTTAGATGGTCAGCAAGAGATCATAGAAGACTGAAATCATTAAATTTTTACATAACCTGCTGAATAATTTAATTTACAGGTAGATAGGGTAGCACTACTTCAGATAAAGTGAAGGAGCACTCTAATTCAATTTAGTGCAACAAGCTAGAAAACTTACCTCACTAGGTTGTGCTCCCCACACAAAAACACGCAACCGAAATTGAGGAAGACCATAACAACCAGCTGCAATTATTCCAAGCCTTGCTTGGTATTTCATGTGTACCAACCGACTTAAAGCATATCTTCCAAGTGAAGCCTTGTCAAATCTCAGAATATCAACCACATTTTCCATTAAAACAAACTTTGGTTTTAAGTATTCCACAATGTCCATGAAGACCACTATTTGACGATTTCTTTCATCATCCAGTGGAGAATCAACATTTCTATAGCGATTATAGCCACTAATTCCTTGGCATGGAGGGCCACCACAAATAACATCAACGTTGCCCTGGTTGAATTAATTCATTCAAGAGGAGTCATTCATAAAATAGTATTCCAACTATGGAAGATACTCCAGATTAAGCATCCACCTAGCACATTTGATTAAACAAAACTTACCCGAAGGGGTAAGATTTTGGACTTGAAACCTTTTCTTACAAATTCCTGTATACATTCTTGACAATTGCTGAGAGATTTGAATGAGTAAGTAAATATTCCCCCAATTCAAGAATGAAATAATGGTAGCAATTAGTATACCTTAAGCCTTCAATCGGTTCCCATGTATCTTCACTTGCACTATAACCCCTCCAGTGCACCTGACAAAACAGCTATGAGCATAAGCAATCTCCACTAAATATGAACATGATACAAAAACAGTAGAATAGGTTGACACAAACAAAGATCAATTTAATTACCAAAAAAAAAGGCTTGAAATGA